CCCCAAACAAGTACACTTTGCTATATATGTTTTAACTGAAGGCCTACTTCAAAAGCAGTCAGAGAGAGATAACTGGTAAAATCAGTTACTTAAGTAAGAATAATTCTCTTTTTCTCTATCTAACAGGTATTACAACTGTCCTGACAATGACCACTCTAAGTACAATTGCTCGTAAATCTCTACCCAAAGTCTCCTACGTGACAGCAATGGATCTTTTTGTGTCAGTCTGCTTTATTTTTGTTTTCTCTGCACTGGTGGAATATGGAACTTTGCACTACTTTGTCAGCAATAGAAAGCCAAGCAAGGACAAAGACAAAAAGAAGAAAAACCCAGTATGTATCTTTTTACCAGCAATGTCTAAAATTCAATTAGGTTTTCTGAGAGAGCTTTTAAATTCCCTCTTTATGCTTGTACTTCCTTTTCAAACTTAGTAATTACTTATGTACTCTTCCTTTTATATTAATAGGAATACAAATACACCTTGAGAATGAAAACCTAACATATTACAGTGCTATGGATGCCAGATAAATTAATTTCTTAGAATAAGGATACTTTTAACCAAAGTGTTCTGCAAATCACAACTATCACCAAAACCATTATTAATGTTGTCGATGGCACTCTTGCTGTGACCTTTATGGAACAACTGTTAGCTTCTCTGGCTTAGCTTTAACAATGTACTCTGCCACTAACTTATGTCCATATTATTGACATAACTCTGTTTTTCTTATCAGGACCACAGTTCAACTTCTATATTCAAACTAGGCATGTCTTTTTTTTTCTATTTTCCCTGTAAGCATCTGTTTCCTTTTCATCATTTCCTTATCTTCCTTTTCTTATATTTCTTACCCCCTTTATCTACTTCTCTCCCTTAGAAAGTGATTTAGCTAGTAGTTTACCATATTACTGATGGATACATGTTACACAATAATAATAAAAAAAATATATAATAGCCACAATAAAAAAACCAAACAAACAAACAAGCAAACACTGGAAATACTTTCAGTAGGGGTTTGGGATTTTTCCCAGATAGGAAAAAAGTTTGTTGCTTATTTTGTCCAGGACAGATTTCTCCTTGCCTTTGGAATTGAGCTGAAAAGTCTGTTTTCTAGAACTTCTGAAGTGAAAAGAAGTAGTGTAAAAACCTAGAGGAAAATGCAGCCAAATCACCTAAAAAAACCAAACCAAACCAAACCAAACCAAACTAAACCAACAATCACAAAAAACTCAAACACCAAAATGTGAAGAACAAGTGTTTTACATTAATAGAGTGTTTTTTAATCTGTTTTGGGCATCTAAGAAACAATGAAGTCATATGGATTTGCTCTGCAAAAATTGTCAAGGACTTTTGAAGGTATTCTATTTTAGTTATAACATATGGCACAAAAAAAAAAAATAGAAAAAAGTAATCAAAAAATCTTTCATTACACATTATTGCTATATTTTTAACTATAAAAATGGTTGTGAAATAGACTAAAAAAAACACAAATGTTCTCTGTAGTGGATAAGCAGGCAGAAAAACATCTCTGAGACTATAGAGGAAGAATTCTTACCAAACTTTAGGTAAGCTAAGCTGGATTTGATCATAGGCCTCTCTAATGGTCAAAAGAAAGAAAAAAGCACTTTTGGAGAGTGATGCATCCTGACCTGTCCTAGACCAGAATAAAAGGCTGTCTCTGTGTGTTCATGTGTATACTTCACAGATAATTAAAGGAGTAAAGATTACCTGATTATTTTGTCTCACTGAAAGACATCCATATAAGGAGAAATTACTTGTTCTTTACATTACTTATCTGTGAGCATCTGGGGACAAACAGGACTATATATGACTGCCAGGATCTTACTCAGTCTTAAAAAATTAAAAGTAGAATGTTCAGCACAACCCGTAGGTAAAAATAATTTTTTCTAAAACAGTGTTATTATGAACTGTGAATGGTCTCTTTCAAAACAGCTCTGCATAAAAGACTGGAATCCCCTGGGAACATGAAAGGATCTAAAAGGCATTTGAAATCTTATGTCTTTACCCAGATGTAGTTACAAGACAGTGACAAGATGAAAATATGGTGATTTTATATTAGAGATATTTGTTTAAATTGCTATTATCCCAACCTTTCTATAAATTTAGTTCTTTTTGATGTGCTGTTTTAGAAACATATTTTTAATTTACATTATTTTTGTCTCTTTCTTTCTTTCCTTCCTTTCTTTATTTATTTTAAACCAAAACCTTCTGATTCTCTTTTCTGTCTACAAAATGAAAGCTTCTTCGGATGTTTTCCTTCAAGGTATAATGTTTTTTGGAATGGAAATTCACTGCATGCGACTGCTGAATTTACCTATTAGAGTTTATATGAGAATGGTATTTTGCTGGTTTTTTTTAAATGAGACATCTGAGCATTCTACTCAATGTAAATTCCCAATTAAGTGGAATGGTTATAGATTTCTAAACAATATGTAGAGTTGATTCAGCAGCCTAAATAATGATTCACTATGGTTCTGAACTTAACCTAAGTTCAAGAGTGACCAGCATTATTGGATCACATGAATTAAGATAATTTAATGCTAAACCATTTCTGCTCCACTCTTTCTTAATTTGCTATGAGATCCTAAAGCACCAACTACACCAGAAACCTGCAACACACCCTTTTAAAACTCATCTCTGATTCCACCTTTTTAACCTTTGTGATTTAACTCTAAATTATAAAAACAAATCTGTTCCAATGTTGACCTGAGCAAAATTCAATGTCATTGTCAATTAGTCAAATGCTGTTCCTTATGTAAAAAATGTCAGAGTTTTGAAAGGGTTTAAGATGCATATGCACTTTTAATATTGTCACTGGATCAATACTCTTTTAGCAAATTAGAAAAATATATTTAGCTGTGTTCCACATAAACCTTATCTTTATTCACAAATGCAAAGATTTGGTATTAAAAAAAAAAAAAAAGCCACATAAAATAAAAGCCAAGAAATTTACATATTAATGGAATGGAATTGTTGTTTTTTCAGGAAATTTCAATGCCTGTCATCCTAGTGTTTGTCAAGTTCTCTAATGTGTTGAAAATGCTTAAGTTGCTCAATTTGTCCCAAATAGATATATGTGTGTGTACTATGCACACACAGTAGTATACATAGATGTACAGCTACTATATCAAATTAGGAACATGTTGAACCATCCAGTTGGTGACCATTAGTAGACAATTACCTGCATATATTCAAACAACTGGAGTCCTATGGAGATTCTCCTAAGCTTATTCAAAAGACCCAGTATTTGCCTCTTTTTCCTGTACACGGATTTGCTCCTGTCTCAACACAAAGTAGCCCTATATTAAAATCCTGCATTTCCAGTTCAATATTTCAGTACCTTCTATGTGTAATACACAAATTGCTCTCAGATATGAAGCAGTTATGCAAAATATGACACGAAAGAAATTCAAAATAACATAAATTGCATTCCTTAATGTTTCCTTTAACTTCTAGTTTTTACTTAGCTTGGTTTTGAAGCTAACTGTCCATAGTTGTTAACTTATATTGACTTGTGCTGCTTTCTCATAAAGTGTATGATACAAAGGTTTTTAATAAGTTCAAGGTAATATTACCATCAGAACTCTTTAGCAATTTCCCACATACCCCATGCAGAACCATCATTCACATGTTGACCATTAGCCTCCATCTCCCTGTTGGTTTAGTGCTAATAACAGTCTCTCCTTCCTGCCATCCTTTTCCTTTTTCTTTTGCCACTCCATCTTAGGCACCTACAATTGACATCCGGCCTCGATCAGCTACTATTCAAATGAACAATGCTACACACCTCCAAGAAAGGGATGAAGAATATGGGTATGAGTGTCTTGATGGCAAGGACTGTGCCAGTTTTTTTTGCTGCTTTGAGGATTGTCGAACAGGAGCATGGAGGCATGGAAGAATACACATCCGCATTGCCAAAATGGACTCCTATGCCCGAATCTTCTTCCCAACTGCCTTCTGTTTGTTTAACCTGGTGTATTGGGTATCATACCTTTACCTTTAAAAGCAAAAGGAAATCAGTGATATGAGCCTTAATCACTGAATTTCTTAGAGAGATAGATAGTTTCCTAAACCCACTTGAAGTATTTATGACGCGCTTTATAGTGGTCTGAACTCATTAGTGCCATAACCTGGTAAATATCAATCATAGCATTTCTCCAAAAATTTCCATCAGGTTATTGTGAATTAAATGTCCATTCAACATGTCAAAATAATTTGAACTAAAAACCATATGAACAGGTAATATACAGCTATACCTCCTGGAACAGAGACGAAGAGCAGACACCGCAAGGGGAGCAGGGCAACATCACTTGATAGTGGGTACTGCTATTTGAAACAGGAGGGAGAAAGAGAGGAATACCCAGGTAAAGTGCTGTACGGTTTGTTCACATTGGCTATGATTATGCTATAGCTTTATTCTCTGTGGGCTTTTCTTTTTGGAAGAGTCATCTCTCACTTTGAATAGGTATTATTAAGCTAGGAAAGTTAACTTCTACTCCCACCGAGATAAAAATAGACCTTTCCCTTTGCCATCCCTTTAAGAGCACATGTACAATGCTGTAAATATTTCAATACCTTGTAGTACATAAAGTCTAGTGCATGCATCTTTTGGGGGCCAAAATAAATGAAACAAAGGTACCATAAAGTTTTGTCTTTTATTTTGTGTCTCTGGATGTGCTATTGTAATTGATATGTGGACAACTTTATTTTTTTTTCTTTCCCCTTGAAAAATTACCCCTTTCCCTCATGCATGGAAGATCAAAGCAGACAGCACTATCATGTAAGACATTAGAGAAGCCTTAAGGACTCAAATAAATAACATGTAGACAAATCTGTATGGCCAATATAATAGCTCATAAAGTATATTGTATGTGTCTGCTGCAGTTGTAGCCTTCATTTTCCATTGATAATGTTGCTATATTTCAGCAGAATTTCCAGCAATTATACATTGCAAGATCAGCTTTTGAACTTAATCCACGTGTTTCTCTTGTTCTTTTCCCACGTTGAGCTCTTTTTTTGTTACACAAGTGTTTGTGGAGTTTTCAAAATTTTTTAATCCAGCCCAGAAAATAGCTTTTGTTCTAGACATTATTTTATGTAAGAGGTTCAAGTTCATTTTGAAACATTAGGTTTTGTATTATATATACACACACAAATCTCTGCCCATTCATGTCTTTGATCAGCAATAGTTGTTGTCAGTGCTGCTTGTCACTTGGTGAGTACCTTTACTAAAACAAACCTTTACCATGGCTAGCACACAGTTTATAGACAGCCTTGAAAATAAAAAGGAACAAAGAGTGTCTTGGCTACTTAATCACATGGATGCAGTTATCTGTATTTAAAACCTCTAATCCACCTGGGTGAATCTTGAAAACCATTTATCCACTGGGTTTCAGAACTTGTATGATTGATGCTTGATTATGCAACCTTGAGCACATGTAAATACAACTGACCTTTTTTTTAATTGTCAAAGAGGTAAAAGCTCACTTCCAGGAAAGTGGGCTTTCAGATTGAAAAGGGAGAAATATAACTTATCACCACAGAATTATTAATAGCTAAAATGGAGAAAAAGGAAAGTTTTCCAACGTTTGTATAGTTTTGGAAATAAAAACATATAAAAAAGGAACAACTCTTGATCATCAATTGCTCCTTGTCCAGTGTATTTGAAAACATTTTAATAAAGAAATTGCACACACCTGTGGACTTTTTCAATAAAACTGCTGCACTCAATTCCAGTTGTCTTGTGATTAGTTTGTTAAAATCATGCTTCAAGGGCCAGGCTATTTGACTAGCTTGATTGATTCATCAGCTGCCCAAATGAGCTTAGAAACCTCATAACCCTCTGCATTGCCTCATTTTGTAGTTAAATGGCTCACCCATCTAACTTTCAAGGCTGGAGATTAAATCTTTAAAATCATTTTGAAGATTATCTCATTCTCAAAAAAAAAAAAAAAATTGCTGAACTGTGCTGAACTGGAAGTTTCCTACCCTAGTAGGGAAGCACCCTAGTTGAGCCATCAGCTTACATGAGCCTATGGAAAGCCTGAAGACAATGGATAACTGGGTGCAATAACAAGGAATAAATGATCAGCACCCTCACTCGTGGAAGCTGGTTGTAGCCTTCCAGCAAGGGGGGAGTTTAGTTAAAGATGGATACACCCTCATGGCAACAACACAAACCACACAAAATGGAAGAGCATGCCACACCTGCAGTTAGGGAGTGAACTTTTCTCACCCTGTATCACTACACAAAGTAAAGGAAATAAGCCCTTAATCAGTCATCAGCCAACTCCTCACTCCTGCCACACTTATTTAGGTGATTTGTCATTTTCTCCTCAGGAAAATGGGTGAGGTTCAAAAGGACAATTGATTGAGAAACATGTTATTCCTAGTGAGAAAATTACATCAAAGCACACTCTAGTGCTAACTAAACAAAAATTATAGAGCTCCTCTGAGCAGAGATTGTATCAGCTATTCAGCACAGAATCAAAAGATGACCTTTGTATTGGAAAGCCAAAGTGCCGCCACAGCAAACAAAATAGCAAGGGAAATAGCATTTGGGTACGATGAGGGTTGTTATTCAGAAGAAAACTGCTCTGAAACCTATCTTGAAAGACATATTCACACATACATAAAATATTATGTCACATAAAATATTATATTAATACATACCTTATACGTGTTAACTCTCTCAGTTGCATTCTAGAGAAGAAACTTTCTCCTGATGCAACAGATTTGCTCAAATGTTTTCAAGCTCATTACATTGCAGATAGCTATTATTGCTCTGGGATGTGTGCAGGGATGTTCAGACGGTCATTAAATTTTTGGCAAGTGTACACTAGTGGCACAAATATTTACTTGCTATTTATATTCCACAAGTATATAGACATCCTGACCGAGACAAGGCATTGTTGTCCCAGGGATTATGTCATACAAGCATATCAGAAGAGAACACTCTCAAAACATTTATACATTTTTATACATTTTGAACATTTACAAACCCCACTTTGTAAATAAAGAGCTAGCATTGAGAGAGATTATGTGACTCAACAACAGTTCTCCTATTTTCAGTGTTAGGCAATCACAAAAGATTGTGTTTTAACTAGAGAGTATTGAGTAAAAAAAAAAAAATGGAGGGGAAAAAAAAGCAAGCAGTCTTTTTTTTAATCCACACATTCCTACCTGATTTTCCCATGGTCACATAAATCTATCTGACATGAATGGACTAGTCAAATATACGATGATGTATCAGTTTCAGTGACTCAGCAATCACAGCAAATATGGGCACATGGCAGAGGTCCAAATATTTGAACCTCTTCCTCCTGTGCCCCCTAAACCCTGTAATCTAAAAACACAGGTAGGAAAAGGAAAAAATATACAAATAAAATATTCAAACAAATGAGTAATGCAAGAAATGGAACAAGAAAGTTTTGTTATCTGCACAAGTTCTAGCAGACAGCATTACTTTACATGGGGAGGGGGAAAAAAAAGAATTGGGAATATATAGTTTTAGTTTATCTGCCTTAGCACAAAATCTGTCTTTTGTAGGATCACAGTAGAGATGAGCTGTAAATTGGGATTTGAAAGAGGAAAAGCAAGGATTTTTTTCAGGTTTGCTGAAGTGTTTCTCATGTTATAGAGGAAAGGCAGAATTAAGTAAGAAAGTCTTTGTGGAAGAAGCTGGTAGCTGAAGAATGAAACTAACTCATGACTATGACACAGAGGCTGAAGTCAATATTGACCTGATCTGTTCTATCCAGCCTGCAGCTGTGAAGGGAATTAGAGAAACAACCAAAATAATTTGCTGAATTATGTAAGAATTATGTATGTTAATGTACTAAAGAGGCAGTCAAAAGCAACAAGCTAAGAAGAGGAATTCAGGGGCAGTATGATCCATGGAAAATATAATACTTCTCAAGGCCAGAATAATGAAGGTTGCAGTTTTCTGAACTGAATAAACCACGTTTAGGGTTCAGGCTTCATCTACAAAGAAGCAGATTTTGGTCAAGCCGTGGCAAAGTTAATGTTATTTAGAAATTAATAGCTAGGTCCAAGGTAAGGACTTAGAGAAAAATAAAGTCTGTTCATGGGCTTCTGTGCCTGTAAGAATAAAGTCTGTGAAATTTAAGCTAAGGAATCGAAGGCAGAATCCAATAGTAAGTATGAACAGAAGAAGAAAAGTAAAAATCTAAAGGAACCATCTAAATTAAACTTAATTGCAGCCCAGGGGAAAAAGTGACATTTTAATATGCAAGTGTTGTCTTTCAAACAAAATTTCAGTTGCTTTGCAAAGAGAATTTAATTAAAACCTATTAAAAGCTTCACAGATAAATCAGTTTATTATACCCATGAGAGATCTATTGTTCCATTTATAAAAATTAAAAGGCAATGGACTTTCCCTCCTTATTTAGAAGGAACCTGTAGATGAAAAGACTTATAATTCCTACTTACACATTCATAGAATCATAGAATGGTTTGGGTTGGAAGAGACCTTAAAGGTCATCTAGTTCCAACCCCCCTGCCATGGGCAAAGACATCTTCCACAAAAGCCCTATCCATCCTGGCCTTGAACACTTCCAGGGATGGGGCATTCACAACTTCACTGGGCAGCCTGTTCCAGTGTCTCACCAGTTCACTCTTAGAGTAAGGAATTTCTTCCTAATATCTAATCTAAATCTACCCTCTTTCAGTTTGAAACCATTACCCCTCATCATGTGACTACACTCCCTGATAAAAACTTGCTCTCCATCTTTGCCATAGTCCCCATTTAAATACTGGAAGGCCACTATAAGGTCTTCCTGGAGCCTTATCTTCTCTAAGCTACAGAAGTTTTCTTGTTGATCTTGGTATCCCTGGCCAGATTTAACTCTACCAGGGCTTTGACTTTCTTAACTTAATCCCTGGCTGCTCAGAAAGTTTCTCTGTATTCCTCCCAGGCTCCCTGTTCTTGCTTCCACTCTGTGTAGACTTTTTCTTTTTGAGTTTTTCCAGGCTCCTTTCATCCTTCCCTGAAGAGGCCAGTGTCCGCTCTCCTCAAGTCAAATGTACTGAGCTTGCTATGCGCCCTCCTTGGTGCTCTAAGGGTATTAAACTCCAGCATTTCAAGACCACTGTAGCCAAGGCTGCTCTTGAGTTTCACATTCCCCACCAGCTCCTCCTTTTTGTTTAGAACAAGGTCCAGTATGGCAGCTCTCCTTGTTGGCTCCTCTATCACTTGGAGAGGGAAGTTATCACCAATGCATTCCAGAAATCTCTTAGATTTCTTATGCTCTGCTGTGCTGCCCCTCCAGCAGGTACCAGGGTGGTTGAAATCCCCCATAGGGGTCAGAGCATGTGAATGTGAGGCTGCTCCCATCTATAGAGGGCCTAATCCACTTGATGTT